TATACAGGGGGCAAGGGGCAGAGGGAGCACACAAAGGCTCACCACATGGCAAGAGTGGGGTGAAGATTGCCACCCCCTCAGGATGCTTTCCCATTGGGCTCTTTCTGAACTGAAAACATTCTTTTAATATGGAGAATTCCTTGGAGGGCCATGAAAACCCTGGTCCTATGACATATTACCCGCCCACCCCTGCCCGAATGGCACCTACTACAGGGTTATTAAAATTTTACCTTTTCGTCAATAAAGCTCTTTATGGGACATTTTTCTGGCTGCATTTTAATGCAGCGTCCCCTGCCCCAGATGCGGGAGAGGAGACAGAAAGGCCATTTACAGCTCTGGTCTTAGAACGGCCCTATTGTGCTTCTCACTGAATCCAGTGCCACGTGGGCTCTGCTCTGCATGGACACAGTTTTAACTGTGGGGTGCTTTCAATGACCGGCAGAGACACTGGCCCTGCAGGAGAGAGGACATAGGAGACATCTTCCTCAGGGGGAGTGGGCGTTGGCTGAAAGGAGCCTCACAAGCCTTCCTGTTAGCTGATCTGAAATCTTTGAGCTTTGAATATTTGCTAGAAATTCCGCTTTCTGTATTAAAAGAATCGATTCTCTCTTTTTTTAAGGTTTCAAGTATAAAGGTGACAATGACAGTGGATATTTGGGAACGCTTGAAGAGCCTTGAGACTTCTGAGGCTTCTTTGGTCTTGATAACACTTAACAGCAAAGACAACTGGTTCTTGCCAATGGCCTTGGTGCTGAATCACCTAATTTTCTTCCTCTGGACCGAGGACAGCACAGTTATCTTCCACCAAAGGGACGTTGACACTCCACCGTTCCCAAGGTTGCAACACATTTGTTTCCTGAGAGCCTGTTGCTTAGTGGAGACAGCAGGAGTGGCCAGGCTAGCTCATGGCATCTTTGGAGAATCTGGGTTGAAGAGCAGCGACTTTCAATTTGCCAGGACCTTGCAAAGGGCTGGGAATTGACGTCTGGGTGAAAGCCCGGGCTTGGAAACGGTGACTTACAAACCTCGGAGTGCATCACAGTCATGAGGCATAGTGACAGGCCCTGAATGGAGGCTGAGACACAGCAGTCCCAGACAGGGCCCCAAGGATGTGAATTCCACCCAAGCTCTCAGGTCTTCTTGCCTTTTCCAGGGCAACCCTGGTTGTCGAAGGTGTTAGGACACAAGAGCACCTTCTTTTTGGTTGCTATAGGGATATGGACTGGAATATTTGAGGTTGTTTTTCTGGAGAGGAACATGCGTATGACTGGAACCCGATGTATCCTGATGTAAGGCTGATGTATCCTGGTTGCAGCCGGAGTCTACAGAGGAATTGATACAGTTCTCCAGAGGAAGGGTGGGGAGGGGAGTAGACATCCAGTCAAACATGGAAGGAGACAGTGAGTTTGGTACGGTCATCTGTACAATGCTTATGTCTCACCTAGGGAAGGTCTAGGTGGGCCCGTGAGTACGGGTGTGCATGTGTGCATGTGTGCACCATCAGGAAACACTTAAAACATCCCCCCTTGACAGTGTAATGTTTACCTCTGAATGGCAGCAGGACCAGACTGTACTTTCCGGTTCACTTTCAGAGTCTGAGAGTAGATTGGTAGGTGTTCCTCTTCAGGACTTCACAGAGAGAATGTTCTCTGAGTCACAAGGACAGGCCAGGTGCTTCAGAGGAGATGCACCAGTGTAACATGAGGGCTGGCTTGTTGGGGTTTCTGTCCCACTGGGTTCCCCAGCCATTTAATCCCAGAGAAAATCACACAGAGTCTGCATTAAATATAAACTGATTAGCCCATTAGCTCAGGCTTCTTATTAGCTACCACACTGGCTTAGCAGCAAACCGTCCATGTCACTGGGTAGCATCCTTAGTCATTGGTCCAGCAAATGTCACGTGAAGGAGGAGCATGGCCCAGGCAAGCCATGCGTGAAGTCGAGTCCCTGTTCTCACTGAGCTGGTAGATGCATGAGTAAATAAACAACAGCCATGACAAGACACCTCCCACCATCATGGCCAAACACTTCTCACCTCCATGCCAGACACTTCCATGGTCAGACACTTCCCACCTCCATGGCCAGACAGTTCCCACCACCATGGCCAGACAGTTCCCACCACCGTGGTCAGACACTTCACACCTCCATGCCAGACACTTCCCACCATTATGACCAAACACTTCTCACCTCCATGCCAGACACTTGCATGGTCAGACACTTCTCACTGCATGACCAGACAATTCCCACGACCGTGGCCAGACACTTCTCACCATCATGGTCAGACACTTCCCACCACCATGACCAGACACTTCTTACCACCATGACCAGACACTTCCCACCACTGTGCCCAGACACTTCCCACCACCGTGGCCAGACACTTCTGCTTTGTAAGCACAGCAAATGAGTGGGCAGAGTGAGAGCAAAGGGGCCCCAAATAGGGAAGAGACATTTAGGTGAGGTTAGAATGAGATCAGGAAAAGAGGGGCAGAGCATACACCGGGCCAAGACATTGCAATGGAACTGGGGATCCCACTGAACCCTTTAACAAAAGCCTTTTTGTGTGTGATTCTCATGAAAACAAGCAGGTAGATGCTATGGAGCTTGTTTTGGACAAGTGGCTATCATTTTAGAGGATTTACATAATTTGCTGGCGTGGTATAGAGGACAGAGACTTCACAGCCAGAAACCATGACTTGCTTCAAGCTTTAGAGCTCCTGAAACAAATAGGCTTGGTGTAGTCCTCTTCCCATGTCTCCTGCTGCTTCCCTTAAGTAAGTGGAACACCTGGATGGGGGTGTTCCAATCCATAGAACACAGGGATAAGTTAGAGACAGATCAACAAACCCTTCACTAACAGAGTGCTCAGTACTACACTGCACATGCTGAAAGGGAGATATGTCCCCTTGGGGGTGTAATGCCCAGTGTAATGCCCAGTAACAGCTCTCTCTCTCTCTCTCTCTCTCTCTCTCTCTCTCTCTCTCTCTCTCTCACACACACACACACACACACACACACACACACACACACATACACACACACAGCTCTCTCTCTCTCTCTCTCTCTCTCTCTCTCTGTATATCTGTGTGCCTCTGTTTTTCTCTCTGTGTCTCCACTTGTAATGAAACCCAGTGCCTCACAGGCTATGCCTTTTGCTCTTGATTTCCTTGGAAACTGTTCAGATTGTAGAAGCCTGCCTTGGGGTAAGGTCAGAAGAAGCAGGCCATATCTAGTTCTAGTGAGGCCACAGAAATATGTGGCTAAGTTTGCTTTTGACTTTTAATCTCTAGTTAACAAAGTCCTGCCTCTGTGGGTAGTTTGGTCCTCTGAAAAATTGCCTCACCATGAGGCAATTTCCTTCTCTGGGCAGGGAGCACCGTGTTGCCTTAGGGGTGCTCTGGTGTATGTTGCTCTGTTGGGGCAGATGGGAGCCACTCTTCATACACTGTTTGCCTTCAAGATGTCCGTAGTGAACACCCAACACATGGATGTGTAGAGGTCACTTCCAACGTGGGTCACTTTGCTACAGACAGGCCAAACTGCACTTCACCATGGAGGGCACAAGAGGCTCAGCCAGGCTAAGAAATTTTCCCAGGGCAGCACAGCTAATGAGTAACAGTGCTGGTTGATGAAGTCAGAGCTCTTAGTCAGTCTTCCTTCTTGAAATCAGGCAGTTTTTACATGTGTGCCAGGGTGAAAGGGCAGAGCCTGTAAGACCTTAGGAGGCACCAGCACGCTGTAGTCTTTTTAACTAACAGTATCACAGACTCTGGGGTCTCTTTGTATTACATTGGCAATGCCAGGACCACAACTTTGCTTGTCACTAGACCTGCAGTTATGCCTTCCAAATACCTATAAGTTCCTTTGTCCTCACCTGGACCTGGGTCTCTCTCTCCCCTCAGTGAGCTCCTTGAAGCAGGTGGTGGCGCCCCAAAGCTAGACTCTGTCCCTGGCTGGTCCTAGGGAATAGATGATGAATTTGCTTGAAGAATTGGGTCTTTACTTTTGGAAACAGGAAACCTTAAATAATTAGTACTGAAGATGAGGCCAGAGAGCACCGAGAGCAGGAACACAAGGCCTTTCTCCACTTTTATGCAGAGATTGTGCTTTGCTTCAGAAGCGAGATACTTGAGGCTTGGCGCTTCTGGGAGGTGAAGCCATTTCTCAGGTGTACAGCCCTTGCTACTGCTTTATGAAGTTTTCTGGGCTGGGTTTCAAGTGCCCCGAGCTTCCTGCCTGGCATGTCTGAGCAGCCATGATCCAAGGCTGACTGCCTTCCGGTTTCTTTTTGCTTTGCATTTTTTTTCTCTCTCTGCTGAATGAGAAAGTACATGTCCTTTGTCTTTTCTGTACTCAATAAAATTCCAAAATCCTGCCATCGGGCCCACAGAGTGAAACCGCGAGAACTGAGTAACCAAGAGGAAGCAGGGGTCAGGGAAGAATTGCTAGGGGCAACATCGATCCTTTCCAAGGGTCATTAAGAGGCACACAGCCATGTTCAGGGATGATGAAAAGCCCCAAACAAACTGCTGGGCAACATTTGGTCAACAGCACACCTAGCCTTGGGACATCGTGAGATATAAAACATCCTCTCCGCAATCGTGGAGCACCGAGTCCAGCCAACTCTCTCTTCAGAACTGTGTGGCAAACGTAACATCTCACACCTAACCCTGACTCCAGACCCTCCCCAGACTTCTCACCTGCACCCAGATATGAACTGCAAAGAAGCCCGGATCACTAGTTGACCAGAAACATTAATTACAGTTATAGCTGAGGTTATAACAGGCTGTGAAAATCTCCTGCTATAATTGGAATATAGATTCAACAGCTTTATTGAATGTCAAAGCGTATTATTCCACACAGCTGCTGGAGATGCACCGCTGAAGTGATGCTTCTCTTCCATGACAAACACCTATTAAGCAGTCAGCACAAACTCTTCCTTACGGCCCCAGATATCACCCTCAGGGCAGGCAGACACAGCACAGCAATTGCTGAATCGCATATGAAAATTATAGTTTTATTGTCTCTACAACTGAAGGTTTAACGCGGACTCCTGCCTTCATCTGAGCTGGATAAAGAAGCAATTCTCCTTGTGGAAAAATAAGCACAGTACACTATTGTAATCTAAGAAACAGGCACTATTTATGTATCGGAAAGCCTCGCTCTCAATAGGGCTAACAGTCATCGGCCCAGAAGCTGCTATGTTTGCAGCTGTAGAAAAAGAGCTGTAGAAGCCACAAGTAACGAGATGCTAGGAGCAGCAGGGAGAGAGGATTGTGGCACCAGGGAGAACCCCTCCCGCGGCTGCCCTGTCAGTTCAGCAAGCACGACTCGTAGGTGGGCACCATGTACTTGATGTTGATGAAGGCATCCTCCCCGCCATAGCGCTCGAAGGCTTCCAGGGTCTCCTGGATCAGGTCGCCAATGTTCTCCCTCTTCTGCTGGCTGTAGTCGATGCCGTCCCCGGAGTTCACTGGTTCAGGTAAACAGACAAAGAGGCAGTTATTTCTGTGTCGTGTCCCGAGAGCCCTACCCCACAGGCCAGGCATTTCCCGAGGGCATGTTAGGAGATGCTGATAGGTGATGGTTTCACACTGTCTTGCTGAAATTGGAGGCTGGTGGAAACTCCACCAAAACACCAAATCTCAGATGATGGTAATGCCATGCCTGAGAGCCTGAGGCAGAAGGATCACCATGAATTTGAGGCTAACCTTGGCTAATAAGACCCCTTCTTTTAAAAAGTCAGCCAATCAACCAACCAACCAACCCATTAAAAAAATGACAAGAGAAAACACCAAATCCCAGGGCTTAGCTGGTGAAAATTAATCTAAAATAAAGAAACAAATGTGAGAGAATCATGTCATGGGTCCCCTTTCCATTCAGAAGAACTTTTTGCCACTGCCCAGAGTGTTCCCTTTGGCCTTGACTTTGTCTAGCACAAGCAGAGGGAACTGACCATGGTTAGACCGTGCAGGTAGCTCCATGTGGCTCACAATGGGCAGGAGAAAGATGGGCTCAGCTTAGAGCTGTAACTCCGTGTCTCTTGCTGCTTTGTGTACATGGCAAAGTCTTGCTCTGAGGATTAGGGACCCAGGGTCCTGCAGTTACTTCCGGTACTTTGCTGCGCCTGTTCCTGAATGACATGAGATATTTGACGACCCATCTTAGGGTCGTGGCAGGCCAGGGCGTTAGTGTTGTTGCCAGTGCTGGAGCTTTCAAGTCCAGGAAGCCTGACTGCAGCCCAGCCTCTCACAGGCTGCAGCCAGCCACTGTGGCTACCTTGCTGGTGCCAAGAAGGAAGCGAGTCCTAGATGGCCTTGGTAGGCCTTAGAACCTGCTTCTTAGATCTCCCATGCAATAGCCTCAGGCTGCAGCTACTTGGACAGAAGGTTCCTGATAGCCCAGGCTGTGAGATGTCCGGAGGCACCACAGGTCTGATAGAAGGACCACTCCCCTGTGCGCCATCCCGACTCTCACACTGTCACATTTCTGTCTACGCAGTCATTGCATGCTTTCTGCCACAGCCACCCATTTCCAAGGGCTTTAGTGTCACTGTCCCTAGAAGGGAGAGATCATTGCATCTAGAGAATCAGCTCACATTGTCTGGTGACATAGGAAAGGGCAACAAGTTGGGCTTCTAGGAGACAGGGGGATGAAGATGTGAGCTCAGGCCTGAGGATGCCACTGGGTGAGGGAGCACAGCACAGCCTGAAAGTTTCCACCGCACAGAGGAAGGACTTCTTTGTCCATACCTCAAATACAGGCTCCAAATGTTTACCCAGCTGAAGGTGAAAATAGTGGAGGTTGAAGTGGGGCTTGGGACTTCTCATCCCGGGTTATTCTGGGACATTTCTAAAAGGTTGGGTAATGGTTCAGACCAGAGCAGAGATAACAACTACAAACAACCCCACACCACACAGACAGACACTTCTGTCCCTTGATGTTCTCCCAGAAACTTCTTAGAAGAACACCACTGTCTTAGATGATACGGGAAAAATAGACTGTCATTCAGACCAGTTTGCTTGGCAGGAAGGAAGGCAGGTAGAAATACAGTCTTACAACTGCAATCTTACAACTGCAATACATCTTAATTTATTCCATAAAGTGAACTTACAAAGGTTTACACAACCTTTGTAATTAGGTGATTCCCCCCCCCCCCCCATTGTGGATACCTCTCCATCACATTGCAAACTAGATTTAAGACCATTTCAAGTTTGACTCACAAAGTGGCTGCTTATTCAAAATGTCAAACATATGGAGCACATTCGTGAACATTGTTCAAAGCAGTATTCATAGTGTAAAGAGAACGTTTATCACCAGGAGAGAAACCTGGTAAAGACTCTTGTCATAATTTTGAAGAAAGCATAAATATTAGTAAAAATCACACAGGTGAGTTCACATTTAAGCAAACAGGCTTTACCACCACCATAATCACCATCGTTACAGATCGACCTGGTGTACCCTGAGAAGTGAGGGTGTGGGTGGGGATGGCCACAGCAGGGAAAACACACGTCTTCAATAGCAGAGGGACCTTCAGTTGAACTGGGAGAGAAGGAGTGAGGAGGAGATGCATGGGCTAGCAGGGGTGTGTGTGGCTGCCATACAATGGAGGTGTGATGTAGACCTAAGTTTCTCTGCTGCTGGGTCCTGAAGCAATTCCATCCCAAAGAAACACACAGAGGCTTATATTAATTATAAACTGTTTGGCCTATTAGCTCAGGCTTATTGCTAACTATCTCTTGCAACTTAAATTAACCCATAATTCTTATCTATGTTTAGCCACGTGGCTTGGAACCTTTTCTCAGTAAGGCATTCTCATCTTGCTTCCTCAGCATCTGGGTGGTGACCGACTCTCTCTGCTTTTCCTCTTTCCAGATTTCTCCTAGTCTGGTTGCCCTGCCTATATGTCCTGCCTGGCTACTGGACAATCAGCATTTTATTTAACCAATACAAGTGATAAATCTTTAGTGGGTACAAGAGCATTATCCCATAGCAGTGTGAGGGGGGAAAACGGTCCTAAATGAAATCAAAAGGGGACCAGGAAATAAAATAACAAAAGTCAGGCCAAGCTACAGAAGATGCAAGTGCAATAATCCTTAGCTAAGTAAGTTTATCCTTACTTAGCTAGCTAAGTAATAGCTAAGTGCAAGTGTATCCTTAGGAAGAAGTCAATGTCCCAGGAGTCCACTGTGAGTGGACAGACTGTCCCAGGGTGTCTCTGGCTATTCTCTGTGTCCTTCTTCCTCCCAAGTGACATTCCTTATCAGTACCAGCTCATGAACTTTCATATAGCTAGGGAGAATTTGGCAGGCTGTGTTGGCCTCAGACGATCGAACCTGAAACCCTCTGCCTCACAGACACCTGGAAAATAAAATTGGTGATGCATCGCCGTAACAACCCTGATACGGCTCCTTCTAAACAAAGATTCATGTATTAACCACTGGTAAATAGTGCCTTTTGTTGTGCCCAAAAGGTCAAGGACCGAATGGGTCACAGGACAGGCACATTTTCCCGATGGCGCTGAGGGGGTTCGGGAAGTCTGTGCACAATGGAGAGCTCCACACGCCCTGCTGCTCACTCCCTTTCACAATGCAGCAGCGACAAGCAACACTTTATTCCATGTTCTTACTTTTTAAAAAATGTTTAGCTGTAGGAGTAGCTCTGAGGCTGTTTTTGTTTCTCACTGTGTACCAACTGCAATGATAAAGGCACAGAGCAGAATAGAAGTCGCTTGTTCAGGAGGCTGTTGGGGCTGCACTTGCTGTTTTGTGGTTGCAGAATGTGGATCGCGGGGGCAGAAGAAGACCAAACGGCAAAACAAAAAATCAGGAGCCTGGGGCTTGTTTTGCATGCTGCAATGACGACGGGCAGGCTAATGTCGAGCGGTGTTGACAGGCAGGTGGTGATGCCGTCTCCATTTTGAAACTGCGCCTTCTCAGTTTCTTGAGAAGCAGGAGTTGAGCTCTCTGCTTTAAATGCAGACTACACTGCTGGAAAATATGTTTGTAAGAAGAGTGCACTTAAAACAACAACAACAACAGCAGCAACCAGGTGGTTATTTACAATCGTCAGTTCTGGTTAGGAAGACGGCATGCCAGTGTACAAAGTGGGGGAATCTACGATCGGATGGAAAAGAAAACTTTTATTTATAGCTAAACAGGTAGGGCTTATATGAAGGGTGTGAACCAGGCTTTGTGCCCCTCAGAACGACATGAAATAGTTGAACAAGGGGTGAGGAATGTCCTGAGAGATGTTGGCACGCAGGAGGCAGGCCACGGCCTCCCGGAGGCAATTCCCAGTTCCAAGTTATTTGAACAGCGTTTAGCGTTTTGAATGTTGACTCCTCTCCGATTATCTGAGCAATCTGCTTCAGGATTAAACACATTCAAACTCCTCTCTAATCTGTGGAGATGGTCCTGCCCCGGATGCTCCTTCCTGTTCCTCTTCAGACCAGAGCAAGACATGTGTGTACTTCCTCTGTGCCCACGGATGGCGTCTTCCTGGTGAAAGAACTCAGTTTGTGACTGAGCAGTGTTAACCCTTCACTGAGGGCCACAGCAAAGGGCAGTTACATAAGACATTTACATTTCACACAGAAATCTGCTGCTGCTGGGTGCTGGTCAGCAGAGACAGGGATCATGTAGAATTTTGATAAAATACCTCCAGTATGATTTCAGTTTCTAGACTGTAAAAGCCTCACTCTTTCCCTTTATTTAGTTGCCACTATTACACAGAAAAGGAGCACAATCCGAGGCAAGAGGTCCGAAGCAGGAAGGAAGGCCGGTTCTGCTGGAGCAAACACCTTCTTCTTAAGCCAGGTTTGGGATGGCTTTGAAGCCTTGCTCCTTGGTCCTGAGCCCACCCTTGGCCTTGGCGGCAACCGCGGCTACTGTTACAGGGTGTTCTTTGTGCACAGGGAAAGCTCTGCCGGGCCTGGCAGGATGAAGGGACGTGAGAAGACATCAGGTCCTTGCCCCGGGGGGAGGGGAAGCTCGCCAGCGGGACTAGGAAATTTCATAGGTCCACACTTCATACAGGACAGATGACCCGCACCCGTGGGAACACGTGTGTCCCACGGACCCAGACCTCAGTCTCCCTTTTGCTGACCACTGGACATGGGCTCTGAGAGAACTCTGCCCCATTTGTTTAGTTAGGTGCCCATGGGAAAAGCAGTAAAGAATATGTGGATGGTTATTGGGCTCAGAGAGAGTTCAGCTCAGATTTGGGTTTTTCTGCTGTAAATGCTGTTTTTGGTAATGCTCTTTAATGGAAAGTGGGAAGAAAGTGTCATGAGCAGTCACAGTCCCTGTTACTTGGAAATAAAAGGCTTATTTAAGTCAAGAGAAATATACAGAAAACAGATAAAGGCCTACTTCAGGCCCTTCAGCACAGCAAGAGAATGAACTATGTTGACTCTTTTTGACGTTGCCTGAGGAAATAAAGAACTCCACCCTAGGAAAGGAGCCCCTTTCA